CACCACTACATACAAGTCTTCTATAATACCGTACTTGGCACGGTTTCTTATCAACGATGATCTTGTCATTGGGACTCTTCAACAAAATCTTTGCTAAATTGGCTTTTTGTATATGCAACGCATCATCACACGTTTTTTTAACCATGTAATTTCCAAAGAAGAGTGATTGTGTAGTAGCTGAATGTTCATCCTCTATAGGGAGAATTAAAGCAGCTTCCTGACTTGATTTGACTCTTAACAAGCAAATACCTGCTGCAGTCTGATTGGTCAATTTTATCAAGGTCCCATGTGAGGAACGTCCGTGTCATGTGGGTGTGTTTGCACGTCGTCTGTATATGCGCTAGTGTGTATGTGTGTACATCGAGCATTGATGCTGCGTGTTTAATGGGAGAAATGCGTACAACTGTTATCCAACAAATGCATGTGGCCACAACAGACGTGACCTTGAGCGTCACAATAGAATTTGTAGGAGTTTGAATGCTACGGCTTAAAATAAGAAAATACTTGGTGCGTGAAAGAATGGCACTGTCTTGTTGCGATCACGAGCCGTTCGCCTCGAGTGTTTACAATGCCCATGAACACCAACTAGGCCCAGCAGGAGCTAATTAGGTCATTTAGCAGATTGAGAGAAAATCTAGACCACCTGCAACTTGCGTAACGCGTTTCCAAAATGTTCACCTTATTCGCACTATTTACCAGATCCCTCGCTTGACAATGCTGTGTGTTGGTGTGTGTGTGTGTGTGTGTGTACACGCTAGATACTCACCTGAGTGGGGCGCCTCAAACGTTCGAAACGATCCGCCTGCATACGTAGATTATGCTCCAGAGTTTCATGTCGTTGAATGAACGCCACCGTGGACTGAATGGAATCTCCAGTTTCGTTCAAATACAAATCGGCTTCATGAATTTCCAACCACTGTTCTGCTGCATCTGCCTCACTGCCATATATTGGTTTGTGAGGGAGGAGAGTGATCATCGGTGAAAGCAAGGATGTTTGCATTAATATAAAACACTCCCAAAAACACACTATCCGTACGCGAAACTGTGAGCTGAATCTCACCAAACACCGAACGGTATAATTGGTTAGATATGCGAAAGTTAACTCATTTTTTTTTTCAAATATGTTGTGAGTTAAATGAATGGGATATAGCTGGTGGGACTAAAAGCAAGTCAAGGCAAGCTGGTGACCACATCAAGGGATGTGTGCGTGTGAATCCCGCCAACACTGCCTGACTTCTCATCATGTTTGTTTATTGTATGACAGCCCTTTGAATGGTCAGTTCCCCCTTTCTGGAAATTGTATATTCAATGAAATAAAGTAAAAAAAAGAATGAAAATAATGAGTGATATGCACTGTGGAATGATGCAGTCGCAGCAATTCATGAATTTTGTGAACAGGGAACAGCGTGTGAATAATGGAGAAATGAAACATTCAAACCGGTCAGAAAATGAGCCGACAAAAACTGGATCAAACGAAACAAAACAGATATTTATCCCATAAATATAGTGAGCGATTGTTTTCTACCACAAATTTATTGGAGTATTTCAAGTTTCCAATTTCAAAGCATGCCCATACTCACCGTTAGAACACGATTTCCATAACTTCTACACATTATTTTAGACGCTTCTTATCCAGGCTCTCCATCTTCTCGGGGTTCACGAACCCATCCCTCTCCCGTGTCACACACACACACACACATTTTCATACATTAGCACTGATCCCTCAAAACTGGGTCTTCCGACCGACGTGACATAACTGAAAACCGTGCATACACACCTACCTGTCTTGATTGTTGAATTGTGTAATCGACTTGGTTCGCCTAACGCATTTATTCGTTTGGTACCGATTTGCCGGGAGTTGAGCTCTCGCTTACCATCAACCTAGTTTGGCCAGTCTGATCAGCGGATTATCGAAATGTGGCTACTGTTGTATTCAAACAGGTTCTTTGCGTCACAGGTGAGAGCTGAGCACCTGGTGGAGACAAACGAGTTAGAGTTGCTATTCCTACCGGAATACCCCATACGCTATAGTTCTACAGTGGTGACAGGAATGAAATATGACTTTTTTAATCAGCACTCCAACGGGATTTAAATCCGGATAACAATTGTGCAAGTGTTCAGTTATGTTGTTCGGCGGATCGAAGTTTTGTTTTTGAATTGTGACACGTTCGACAGCCTCAGTGAGATTCGGACCTGTACTATTGTGTACAGCTCAAGGTCTGCCAGGTGAACCACAAGACCATACAGAGAGCACCAATGTTTTCAGATATGCATTTCGGTGAATGGAAGGAATGGATCGGTGAAGGAAGGCCGGTCGTGGCAGTCAGTCAGCTTGTGGCTACCTAGAGAATTCCATGTGAGTTAATAATTTGGATGAATAGTTCAGATGTGAAAAGATCAGTGCTCTCGGTATGGCCTCGTAGCTGGATTGGTGGGTCGTGAACTCCATGCGTATCTATAGAAAATGATCCACCCGTATGAGCGGAACAGTAAAATGTGGTTTTTCGAGAGGAAGGAATAAGAAAAACACGTGAAACATGCAGATTTGGACGCATAGGCTCAAGGCAAGCGGCCGTGCTATTGTGATGAGTCAACCCTCCCAGTCGACGCCAGCCAAGCACCTACGCGTTACAGTTTCTGGACAACGAACCACAGGTCAAACATGTCGACCAATCAGAAGTCGTTGGGTTCAGATAGAAGCTGTATGATGTCAAGATTACTAGCAGGAGATTGGTGGATAAGTGTATAACAAAATAAACTTCCTTTGTACATGTCATTTAATCCCATTAATTTATTTCGACAAATGAACTGCTACTTCTGTGACCTTTTCTTTAAGTCACCATCACGGGAGATTCCATGGTGCAAGTGTTACTGCGAATCAGCGTTCCAGTTGCGTCCGTGTTTCATGATTCGTAATCTCTGCCTACTTTGACTACTACAGATATATCATCGGATTTGAGGCTTGACCTGCCCTGCCAGTCTTCAAGTACACCGGTTTGGTTGACAATGATGCGGACAGTGTTCTGTTTGGATATCTTGATTCAAAAATGGCGAAAACGTAAAGGTATATCAGGACAAGGAAACATCAACGGGACAACTGGAAATTGTACACGGGGTAAATCGATTTGTTAAATGTGTAGTTTATGGGATGATTTCGTTGTATAAATGAAGAGTGAGCTGAAAATCTGGAACAGTTGGGTCGATGATGAGATGAGATCCAACCAGGTCGAAACAGCTGTCGACTGCTTCCAAGCTTTCCCGTTCTCGCCTCATTTACACGACAAATTCATCATGCAATCAAATCAAGTCCTCCGTTACTTTGTTACAACAAATGTCATAGTTCAAGATTTCGAACCTCATAACTGATGTGTTGTTCGTCAGCCTTCATTTGACCACAGTCGCTTACCCCATATTTAGGTCACCTAAGTCTTATATGCCAAATAAATCGAGGCCGAAGATTTTCTTCACAGTTGTCATGACTAGTGTTGAATCTGTTCTACCAGTTCCTCCCAATGTTCTCAGTCTCTGTTGCTCTCGATCGCTTATTGACCGCATTTATTGTTGAGACTTTGATCCACAGTAGCTGTTATTCACGTGACCTTATTCTATACGCCTACGTATTGACCACTTTACTGGATTCCTTGTCCACATAGCAACCCATCCACCCCTATGTCGGCATCCACTGCTAATTCATGTTCGATCATGTGTCCTACCGATTACCTCTCTCTCTCTCTCACACACACACAAACAGGCCCTTTCTCTGACACACGTTCCCTCCCGTTCAACTGTCATTTGACCTTTGTGATTAAGTTCCAGTTTATAATTTATTCATTCATTCATTGCTTATCGAGGACCCGAATTTCCTGGCCCCGACTGTGATTGGACAGTCCTCGTGACAGTCGGTTATGTGTCTAGCCTTAGTCTGTGTTTGTCCTTCGTCCCACCAGTTTTGCTTTTTTCGGTGACCGAAGATTTTGTCCGTTCGTTTGGCCCTGCTACCTGTATCAGCCCTGATTGACTGACCGTTCGGGGAGAACTCCACGCATTGAGGTTTGTATCTGCGGTTGAGATGTAACCATTATGTACCTGTAGTACCGCATACACTGGACGTCAGTAAACAATCGTACTTAGATCGATTCCATCTTCTGACTTGGCGCGTCATTCAACCTTGGCCTAGACACCGGACAGATGTAACAAATATTTTCATGATCAAATTAACTTACTAGGCAAATGAGGCAGCACACAGTTGAAACCGTAGTCGTCGATGTGTTTCACACCAGAATCTCTGCAGATCACACCATTTCGTGATCAGCTCGTGCATGTGCTGTTTCACCTCACCGGCAGGATTTGTGGCTTGTGGTGTCGGAGAAAGTGTGAGTGAGGCAGAGGAGGATGGGACGGGAGATAATGTGTTGAATTCTTCATCGACCACAGTTAGTCCACAACCCGAAACTACTGGGTCGGCCACTTCATCGTCGACAATCTCATCACTCAGTGCCATCGACTGATCGGATTTGGGATCGCTGCATCGAGTCGATGACCAAGATGGACCATCATGTCCCGGGGGGCTGTCCACTCGTGAAATACTCCTCCTGTGTGGCTCGCCCGTTTCAAGCACGTTAGGATCTTCCCACTCGGGAGTGATTGTTTGTGAATCGTCACCGCCTGGAGGTTGACTAGGAAAACTGTCCGGAGAGGTGCAGTGTTCGGCCCAGTTCGAATCATTCTCGTCCTGACCGTTTTGATGATCGATCACTATGATTGGAGTGGGGCGACGGGTGACTCTCGACTCCATCACCTCGTGTGTTTCTTCCAGTTGTTGGACAAACGTGTGATACAGTTGACTGCCCTCTTGCAGACACGACTGAACCAGTTGTTTGCGTGCATTAATTTCCGTACACAAATTCAGCATTAAAGTCAAACGATTACGAATACTTTCCGTAGACCTGTGCATCGAGAGGTGGGGTGGAATAAAATATGAAATATATTAGGTAGTCATAATAATAATAATATTAATATTAATAATACGAAGAAGAGCAAAAATTGATAAACAAGCTCATTTTCGGTACAGCTTTTTCGTACCTTTATAACACAATATATATATATATATGACCGGTTACACTCAGGGATTTACGAAGACAAATTTGAATTCAGATGCTCTGAAAACCAGCTTGTTCGCTATTTTGTGTTCCTTTTTATGTGATCCGTGGGATTGTTTAAATGATCATAATATTTGAATGGCGACTATGAAAAGTTCAGTAGCCTCGGTGGGATTCGAACCCACGCAGGAGTGCCATACAAACTTCACATCTGCCAAACAACAATTTAAAGAATTAACCTTGCATTGGAAGCTCATTCGGGTGGACTTCGGTGAATTCTGAGGAAAACCTGTCGGGGCAGTCAGCTTACATGCTAACTGGTGGGTGTCATATGCCTCTGTAAGTAAGGATGGGTAATTCGAATGTGAAAAGATCAGTGCTCTGTCGGTGTGGCCTCATAGCTCAGTTGCTAGAGCGTGCGCGTACAAATCATAGGCGGTGTCCATGCGTGAGTTCGAATCCCGCCGAGGCTACTGAACTATTCACAATTGGCATACAAACTTCAAATCTGTCGAAGAACCATGTTAATAATAATACGTGGACCCAGAATTACTTGGTTTGTAAAAAGTCTGTCTGGAAAACATTGCCTGATCCGAACGGAACTGATAGAATAAAATCCATGCTTGTAACTGGAATAGTGGGGAACCACACATCATTATCAAACATTTCTGCAGAGGAGGTCCGAATATCGAACAGGTTGTGGCTGCTCCAATCCAGTGCGTTCACAGTTCATGATGAAAAAAAAATCACAATTTGATTCCAGCATTATTCTGAAATAAGTATTAGTAGTCTAGTTTAGGACAATTCCAACCGAGTTATAACTCTAGAGGCTAATGTTGAAATGAGCGCGCATCACCACCTCCATCAGCACCACGATAATCACCGTCACTACCACCCGATTTTCACATTTTGTTGCATCGAATCTTCTTGATTATACGCTTCCTATTCCTGAGAATGGTATCATTATATGGTTAATAGAGAAAGCTGAAATGAAAAAGGAAACAGAAAGATTCCGTGAACGCAGAAGTCGTAGAATTTGCTTGTCAAATACATGCATGTAACCACGCAGTAAACAATTGTTTTGCGGAAGATCGTTTTGGATTCACGTGGCACTTCCGGACCGTTTATCACAATTCAACTCAGATTGCACAACCGGACACTCCTTCCTATTAACCAGATAGATTCGTTCAAATTCGTTCTGGTTTACATCTAACCCCATCCCAGTGGACATATTTTATCACTATGTTAGAATTTCTGTGACCAAACCGAAAGAATTGATCGACATGGTTTGGAAATAAAATTTGAAAGCTTTATTAGTCACATGACAGATTTAGTATCTTTAATAAATTGATTTAGAAAATTTAACAAAGAGGAATGGTGGCAGCGGTTCGAAAAATCGAAGGGCCCAGTAAATTCATTTGTGGTGTCCTGTAGAAATTACAAAAATCGAAGAACAACAGGATCAATTGGATTCGATTTTACACAAGAAAACAATCGATAATGCTGGTGGTTGGGATCAGGGATAACTAAATGACTTGTTCCAGATACATATGACTTCAAATGTTTCCTAACCGGTTTCTCTAACTAACTACAGGATAAAAAGAAGCTGCTAAAAGGCGTATCGTGTCTAGCGTTTCTATTTTCGTTTACATTAATTCAAATGAATTTGTGTGCCAATTTTTTTTTCAAACTTCAACACACCTACCATGGAGATGAACCATCGGTACAGGTGAACTGTGTGTCACTATCTGGATTGATCACGTGATCCACATCGGATCGGCATGTCTCGATCCACCGCGTGATCTCGTCCACCGTGGTCAACCATTTGTGCAATGTGATTGCCTCGTGCAAACGCTTCCGGCGGCGTTGCATCCGGCCACACAATTCGTCCATCAGGGCGATCAGCGTGTCTCGGGGTTTTGTCAATCGAGCAGTCCATTTCCCGGCATACAGTGGCAATAGTTGTTCCGCGGTCTGGTTGATATATTGTACCTGAACATATTCGAATGAGATAAGAGGAGACCAAAATGGGGACCACAACTGCTACGGACGGCTTACGTAAATTACTGACTGGTAAAATAATCACGTGATGAGCGCAGCGGTTCATGTGAATCGATGACCTCACAAAACCTCGACACTGACGATTTGCGTAGAGTGTGTTAGTCTCGAAATCATCATTGTAACAGGGGCAATTAAATCAATAACGCAGAATTATTTTGTTCAAATGGTTGTTTAGTGGGGTGAATTTTTAAGTTGAAACTGTGAAAATTCCATTAGCCTCAATGGAATTCGAACCGACGTATGGACGCCACGTACGCTTTTGTACAGCTAAACTACGAGGCCAAACAGTCGGCAGTGTTGAATGATTCGAATTCTTAGCTGGTATAGCGTGCTCTGTACAAAAATGTACGCAGCGTCCATACGTGGGTTCGAATCCGACCGAGGCTACTGAATATTTCACGATTTCAACATAAGAATTATTTTGATTTAAAACACGTTTATGAGTTCTGTAAAGAAGGATCGCGAGGGTACAATAGACTAAATTCTAGTCAAGAAATAAACACTGACCCTGTTCGATATAGCTCAAGTGAAAGGTTCTCGGTGATCAACGTATGCAGACTTTTGATGGAGTGATAATTTGCTGAAAAGGTTGATAAAGAAATTGATCCAGGTGACTAGCATCAGGTATAAAACTGTATGCGAGGGTAATAATATTTGAAAAACAGATATGTGGCGAGCAAGCTTGCTTACAGTGCATTATCTACTGGTGAATTACAGCACATTATATAACGGGTTCACCATGATATAACTTTCAAGCTAGAGATGAAATCTGCTCAAGGAATGGCTTTTCTTGATATTTACTCACCACGCAGCGGTGATGGCTCTCTCAGACGAAAGGTATACGGAAATAATACATGGACTGGACAATAAATCATATGTATATACATATATATCATAGTTTTGTCCCGATGCAGCGTAAATGAAATCTAATCCAGTCCATCGCCAATCGTGTGAGAAGACTTTATTCTACTGATACAGTTAATGATGAATTGGCAACGGTTAACGTTCCTAAAAAATGGATACCCAGAGCAACTTATCGATTGGTGTCTGAGAGCGCACATTGCGAAATCAAAGGACCCATCCTTGGAGAACAAAAAGCCTTACATTTCATTACCTTTCAAAGGCGACCCCTTTGCGAGGACAATGAGCAAAGGGCTGAGGAATGTGGTAGAACATAGTTATTTCTCAACAGAATGGCGCGTCTTTTACTCTTCCAAATCAGTTCTCCCATTACAGATGAAGGACAGACTACCGATGAAGATGATCTCGTTTTTTGTCTACCAGTCTAATTGTTCCTGTGATGCAAGTTGTGAGGCGCACCACCAGACGCCTGGCCGATCAATTGAGAACGCCATACAGCTTGGCTCAGTCGGGGACCGATAAGGGGCAGGTGCGAGTACGATTGCTATACATCTAATCCAATCTATTTACTGACGGAGATTCGGTATAAGGATATGAAAGCCCAACTGCGATCTACAGCGGAGGCGATAACAATTAAAATAAACAAAAGCAAGTATATGTGCATACAAACAGTTCGGTAAATCCCTTTCCCCTCGCATGACCGTGTGTCCGAAGCGTCCTCACTTAACACAACAGTCGAATATTCACACTCCGCAAAGGATTATCACTAATTATATGGTCCGTGTTTAAACATTCACCCCTCAACTTCTAGTTAGCACATACTAACACTGTTTTGACTGTCTCCCCGTGTTACATACGCATCCTCAGTTATATAATACGCTGTAATAGATAAAGCACTAGATAAAGCACTGTAAGCAAACTTGTTCGTTCTTCTCCATGATAACACCGGTGGTTAGAGCAGGCCACATATTTGTGTATAAGAGAGAATCTCCGAGGTAAATACCAACGGGTTGAC